TAGGGGCGCTAGACTTAAGGGGGCGCTGAATTCACTGTGCATCCCCAAATCTGACTAAAATGTAACCAAACCAAACTAAGTCGTTACCATATATTTATCTGGATGTTCCCAGATGGGGCTCCCTGTCTAGGGTGTCATGAGTCTTCCAAGCGCAGCTATCGTCCATACTCTTAGCTTGGAAGCACATTTCAATTCTGAGAGAGTGCCTGTGTCATGCGGGGTAAGTATTGAACTGCTAACGGAAGGTTGGTGGTTCAAACCCACCCGCTGCCCTGCAGGACCAAGATGAGGCTGGTTGCTTCCTGAAGATCATGAGCCTCAGAAACCAGATATTGGGTAGCTAGCTGTGAGTGAGGATGCACTCGCTGGCAGGCAGCGACTTTGGTTTGGGTTTGTAGATGGTGAAACCGTTACACATTAGATTACTCAGCCAAAGGTCGCCTGCGTGCCCCATCCAGAGGGCTCTCAGAGGACAAGTCTGGCGACCTGATTCTGAAAGGTTAGCCTTGAAAACCCTAAAGAGCCCTTCACTTCTGGGCTCCTCCCCCCACCCCCCCAATCGACTCCACAGCCAATACACACATATATATAACCATTACCGTCTTACTTTTTCTTTCAGGAAAAGGTCACCACTTTTCTAGGAAGACTCCCGACAACGTCTAAGATTTCCTAACAAGTGATCCTTGGACAAAAGCAATCGGATCCAGCTGCCGATGAAGCCACAAGACGTTTAAGGAGCCACGTATAATTTTACTATCTCAGTTTCCTCATATTTTTCTATTTGTTATTTTAAATAAATAACTAAGTCCATCTTTTCTCCCCTGGTGATACTATATTAATGGGTGACCCCGCTGCCCAAGATGTGCAAATAACCTTGTCTGGTCCTGTTCTCCTGCCCTTGATATGTTTCTAGAACTCTGTCCTTCTAAGAACGGACACTCTCACACATTTTTCTTCTCTCTCCTCTGAAATTTCTCTTGCGGCAATGGGAGTCCGTGTGCCCTACAGGGAGGCAGTCATGTGTCCTGTTTAAAGGGAAAGGAAAGTGCCCTGGGAGCGGATAGTTTCACATCAAAGATAGCATCATACGTGGTGAGGTCACTTGCACATCACACTTATTACCCTGAGATGTCACTATGCAACCACAGTGCAGAGTTCATGGGGTGGAATGTCCCAAGGACAGGGTTTCTGCTGGAAATGAAAGAAACAGCGCCCTAACCCAAGGACTACACACAGCTACATGCTGCTGTTGTCAACCAATGGAATCACCACAAACAACTCGCCCTGAAAGGCACCCAAACTGAGCCAGGAGTGGGTTTGGTGGAGGGGAGGGGGGCGGGGAGGGACAAGATACTGTTTCAGTCAGTTCCAATAAGCCATTTGAAGAAATGCAATTTTCACTTAGTCATTCAATCAGTTTGGCTCTGACCGGTTCTTGGAAAAATGTTTAAAATGTGTATGCATCTTTAAGGACTTGGGTGAGTCTATTTCTTGGGTCAAATATTCTGGCTCTCCACCATCAGGCATGCTGATGGGCAGATTCCTCTAGCCGGCAGGGTTACCCCTCAGTTGTGATGTTTCTGTGTAGTCTGGGACTTGGACGAGGGAGGTGGAGTTCTGGAAGGTTCTGGTGGAATGGAGTCCCAGGAATTAGGTCAATTCGGTCCAAAGTGTCATTGCTACTCAGAAATAATGAGGAGACCTGGAGTGATCATTCACGCCCTTCTTTAGGGAAAAAGTTCTGTATTCAGGTCTAGAAAACATGAGAGCTGTAGGCTGGTTCAGCTCCCCTAGAAGGTTCTGTCAACGATTCAGTCTCTTGCTCTTCATTGTCTTCGGCAGACATGTAACGTAGTCCTGAGGTAATGAACCTGGAAGCAAAGCTCCAGCCCATGTTCATTATTGAATTCTGGACCATAGGTCTTGGCAAATAGTAAGGGATCACATTTTTTTTTCATCAGATCCCCAGTATTAGCAAGTCGCATTGCGTTCACTTAGTCACTCCTCAATAAAATGTGAAAAATCTTAAACTAACTGGGAAAAAACAACATAGAAATATAGGAAGGAAGGAAGGGGAGGGGGAGAGAGGATGAGAGGGAGGGAGGCAGAAAATGAAGGAGGGGATTCTGTTCTTTCCATCCAGCTAATCATTTCCAAGTCTGTTTCTTAATTATCCAGCGAATTCCTCATATATATTCCCATTGTGGGAGAGAACTGAATCGGAAGGAAAGTGTAAGAGAACTAATTAACATGCAATAATTAGTATTAGAGGAGAAAGGGGATTCTTTCTAGTCAGATGAAGCAGCAATAGATTAACAAAAAAGATCAAGTTTAATGGCCACAGTTTTTATGTGGAGTAAAGGGCTCAGACTGATTCCCAGAAGCTAAAATTCAAAAGTTCCTTAAGATGAATGGTCCTGTGAGACAGAGGTCAAATGCAGCAGGTGGTTACATGATGCAGAAGACAGTCAACAGTAGGCGGGAGGAAGAAGGGCCTGAGTTCAAAACGGTCGCTAGTATCAGAGTTGCGTGACTTTTGAGACAGTCATTTCTTATGAGAACCTCAGTGTTTCATCATAAAAGAGAGATGTGAAGACCAGCATTGCCATTCGTTTTTTTAATTCCCCTTTACTTTCCTCAGGTGAACCTCTTCTTGAGAACTTACCCTTTTCTTCCCCTTCATTCACCATTCTCTTTCTCCTCTTCTTCCTCTCTTCTTATATTTAATTGAAGACAAGCCTACTGGTCTTCAGTTGAAAAGTTCCACCCTTAGTCTCTTTAGTGGAATCATCTTATTCTGTTGAAAGCACGTCCTAGTACTAGGGTCAAAGTCTTGCATAAAATCTAAATTCTAATTGGATTTTTTTTTCAATCTTCTCAGACTCCCCCCCACCCCCAAATAATCTCTATGGGTTTTCTGTCACAGTTCTTTGCATACCAGGCAATTCCTGTGAGCCCATCTCTTTCTTATAGTATCTTATTCAATAAGGCTATTATTAATCAATAGGTTTAACCATATTCTGTTGCCCAACTGCTTCCACTACAGCTAGAATTCCATTAAGTATATTTCTGCATGGTAAGTTATTGCTAGCCTCACTCATATCAAATGTGTGACAACTGGATAACATTAATCAACCTCTCTCCAGCTTATATAACAACTTATTCATTGCCTACTGCCTACCACCTGCCGCTCCACCCTCTAGCCAAGACCATGTTTGGTGGTTGTTGATGTCGTTTCCATTTGGAGTGCCATTTTTCTTATCTGTCAGGAGAGCATTGTTCACGCCATATTAACTAACAGCACCCAGAGCACAGTATAAAATAACAAAAGTCTATTTCTTCTTCTTGCTACATGTACATCACAGGCTTTGAGAGGTACCTTGCTCTTTTTATTCATTTAGGTATTTAGAATTAATAGTGGAGTCACATCTCTCACCATCAGAGAGGGAAAGAAATCTCTGGAGGGAGTCCCACTGGCAAGAAACGGTGCTTGTCACCTTCTCTCAAGTACAAGTAGCCAACAAGTGTATCTTACGACATGTCCAGAAGGTGGGGAGACCAGGAATGCTTGTCAAACAACACAGTGTTTACCACCTAGATCCCTGAGCATGTAAGGTTTAGTGTGCGATAAAGAGCAGTGCAAATCCACAGTGGAAGATGCCCCTCTCATAATGGTGCTGACATGTCTGACTACTCACATAGAGGGTATAAAAGCTAGGCTCCTCGTTTTGAATTTATACAAAAATAAATCCTACAGAATTTAAATATATACAAGTGGGAAAAACAGCTTTAGAATAAAAGGTTTTTAAACACTTTGTTTCCCCCCAAAATTAGGTTAGGGAAGAAATTCTCAAGCCTAGATTGTTCAATCCAAAAGACCAATAATTATAAGAAAAAAATCTGTAAAAGAAAAGTTACCATAAAGACGTGCTACAAGGCTAAGAGTAGATACTTGCAAACCACTTATCTGAAAAAAGAGAGTAAAAATCAAAATCTGTGAGAAGCTCCAACAAATCAATGAGGGGAAAAAGGACAAAATGAAGTGTGTCAAAACCTACATGTTACTAAGTAAAGGAAATTGATATATTGCCTGAATTTTTGCCTTGTTCTCATATAAATTGAATATTCTAAAGGGGTTCCTAGAAATAAGCTAGAAATTATTTACTTGGATAAATGACCAACTCCAGTATTGAAAAATTAAATTTCACATTGATAGGTACAGTATTGGATAAAAAATTTAAAACATTTAAAGAAAAACATTTTTAGCGATGTGTATACAAGGTAGAATTAAACAAACATGTCCTACATCACAATAGTCTACCCAATGGAAATGATGGGTTTGAATATGTTACTTTAATCTGTACTGTCTGCATTTGATCGATAGAAAGGCAGATGGACAGATAGATAAATAGATTGCTAGATTGCTAAATAGACGTTGTCTATTGTCCAGTCCCTTGAAACTCATAGAGACTCTATGATCTAGAATAGAATTGTCCCGTAGGCTTCCCTGGGCTGTATTCTTGATGAGATCAGATTGCTAGATATTATCTCCATGGAGCCATGGGGTGAGGTTGAGCTGCCAACCTTTTAGTTAGCTATCGAGTGCTTGAATGTTGTGTGAGTGGAACCCTTTAGCTATAGATAGTTAGATAGATGATAGATAGATATACATACATAATACAAACACACACACAGATATCTAGATACAAAGCTTTATGAATACATATATAAATACATACATAATAGATCATTAAAGTATGTTCTGAAACAAATGGTGCGCAATATTGTTATCTGTTCAATATTGATAAGGACATAGGTGACTGTTAAGTAATTTTCTGTATGTTTTTATACATATGAATTGTTTGAAAAGAAAATGTAAACATTTAAAATTAAAAGGACCATATAGGTTATTACAAACATTTATCTAAGTTACCAGGGTATAGCAATGGTTAAGCATTTTCAAGCATTCACTAAAAGATCGGCAGTTTCAGTCTGGTGATCTGCTTCCATAGAGAATGCAGCACCTACACTAAAATTGGAATGATAAAAAGAATGTTAGCATGACCTTTGTACAAGGATGACAGACAAATTCATGAGGCATTCTGTCTTCTCACAAGAAGGAAGTAAATGCTCTGAGGTTGATTGTCGGATGACTTTTTGACTCTCATTAGTATGACTGAACCATGGAAATGTATGTGATGTGGAATATATCCCAATAAAACTTTAAAAAAAGAAAGAAAAGAAAACCAACCAGAGGGCAGACAACAGGAGCACCAATAAAACAAAAAATTAGAATTTTGTGTATACACAGTCTATCCACACAGTCATTTTATCAGATAAGCATCAGATATTTTGCACTTGAACATCAGGGAAGGCGTGTGTCAGGTTTCTATGCTATCTCCATATACATGCACTCTGTGTGTTGAGCAAACAACTCAGGAAGCTGGACTATAAGGAGAAGAAGGCAGCAGTACAATTGGTAGAATGATCATGAACCTGGGATATGCAGATGGCACCACCTTGCTTCCACAACCTGAAGGTGAGGAGGACTTTAGGAACTCACTGATGAAGGTCAAAGACTGCAATCTTCAGCATGGATTTCTACTCAATGGAAAGAAAACAAAACTCCTTAGAACTAGACCAAGAGACAACATCATGTGAAACTGAGACAAGATCGAAATTGTCGATGGTATCATTCTGCTTGGATCCATAATCAATGCCTTTGGAAGCAAGACTCAGCAAAATCAAACGACTTATTGCATTGGCAAAACGTGTTGCACAAGACCTCGTCAAAGGGTATAAGACCAAAGATGTTACTCTGAAGACTGGGCCCCCGTCTGGTGTTTTCGGTGGCATGTGAAAGCTGGATAGGGACTGAAGGAGACTGGAGGAGACGAATGCATGTGAATGACGGCGCTGGCAAGGACTATGGAACGTCCTGGACGGCCTAAAGAACCAACCCAACACATCCGTCTCGGAAGAGGGATAGGCAGACTGTTTCCTAGGAACAAAGATAGCAGGCTTTGTCTCACATACATTTCAGGAGGGACCAGACCCTGGAGAAGGGCATCATGCTTGGTAAACCAGAGGGCCAGGGAAAAAGAAGAAGATACCCAATGAGATGGATTGACACAGCGGCTCCCACAATGGGCTCAAACATAACAAGTGTGGGGTGATTCAGGAATAAGCAACATTTCATTGTATCGTACATAGGGTTGCTATGTGTTGGAACTGACTTAATGGTGCCTCACAGGCATGTTGTGTACATGTAAATTTATAAGTTCACAAATCTACACATGCACAGTATGTGTAGTTAAGTTTTACAGGCAGCAGGTTGCTTAGAGCTGACATAATGAATCTGGAGATTTAGAATTCCAAGGTTGGAATTCTAACGCAGTCCCACCAGGATAATGTTATATTCCCTTTCACCTCAGCCCTTTTCATAGCTTGCTTGGCCAACCACCACTGGAAAGAGCTCCAAGTGATCACATCCTCATGTCACAGCATTTCAAACGTGATCAGCAGAAATCCTCTTACAGTTCACTGGCCAAAACTGAGTCATATGGCAGACCTATTCCTGCAAAGGGGAACAAGTCTTTGGTATTTGATTTTGACAAATCTCTGGTCCACCTCTTAGGCCTGATGGAACAAAACTATAGTTCTGTTACCACAAATAGATAGAAACTGCCAATGAAGAGCAACCAAAAATAGTTTACCAAGTATTCATATACACCAGGCAATTCTCTACCCAGTTGACATGTACAGTTAGTTGATTCTCATAACAACTCCATGAGGTGCATCTCTCTATTTAAGGACAGAAGAAATCAAAGCTTACTGTGTTAGTCCAGGTAGACTAGAGAAACAAATCCATAGGCATTCACTTGGGTACAAGAAAGAGCTTTATATACAAGAGCAATTGAATATTGAGAAAACATCCCAGCCCAGTCCAGATCAAGTCCATAAGTCCGATATTAACCCATATGTCCGATACTAATCTATAAAGTCCTCTTCAGACACATGAAACACATGCAATGATGCTGAATGCAGGACGATCACAGACCAGTGGGTAGAAGGCCTTATGGATTCAGTGGTGGTGGAAGCAGCTCAGTGCTAGCAGGGGTCTCCACGTGGTTCCTCCAGCTCCCAGAGCACGGGCTCTATCAGCATAGCGCGATGTGTCTTGTCAGTAGAGCGTCTCTCAGGGAGTGAGTTGAGAGAATGTCTCCAGCCTCCAGGGAGGAGTACTGGAGTTTTATGAATCCTCAGGAGAAGGCCATGCCCACCCAGAGGTCTCACTGGCTATCACCTGATTGACTGGCTGGACTCCACCCCTACACCCTACACTCTTAATCCTCAAAATGACACTAGATTATGTAACCACCACATTTACTTACTGCTCTTCCGTTGATTTTAACTCATAGCAACCCTCTGGCCTCAGTAAAACGGTTCCTGTAGGGTTTCTGAGACTATAAATCTTGCTGGGAGCAGATAGTCTCATCTTTCTCCTATAAAACAGCTGGTGGGTTTGAACCACCAAACTTGTGGGTAGCAGTTCAACAGTGAACATGGCACCATTAGGCTCCATAACTAAAGTTTACAGAGGCTAATGTGCCATAGGCAGGAAGTTGCAGAGTAACGATTTGAACCCTGTTTGCTCTGGCACTCACTGTGCATTATTAAATAGAGCCCTGCTGGTACATGTGGATAAGCATTGGACTGCTAGCCCAAGGTGGGCAGTTCAAGTACACCCACTGCTCCAAGGGAGAAAGCAGACGCCCAGTGCTCCAGCCTCAAAAAGAAAAAAAAGATGGAATTTTTTTTCAAAGCTATTTAATTTTTTTTCTTTCTCACAAAACAACATCACCTTCAAAGTACTCTCCATGACATTCAATACTGCCATTCAGGAGCTTCCTAGAAACAGTTTTCAGACTCATCTGTATGGATGGCTGACAGCACCTCCCTCGCTTTTTTCTTCACCTCTTCGAGGTCATCAAATTGCTGTCCTTTCATGTCCCACATCACAGGGAACAAGATCAAGTGAGTAAAGTGCATGGGGCCAGAGCAGCATGCTGTTTTTTGCCCAAAACTGGCACACTGAGACGGGCCTGAGCCAGTGCATGGTTGTGGTGGCCAAACTCATCCCCCTTCGGCCACAAATCAGGCTTCTTTTGGTCGCACACTGTTACGCAATCTTTTCAGAACCTCTAAATAGAAAGCTTGATTAACAGTCTGACCTGGTGGAGCGAACTCCAAATGCGCTACCCGCTCACATCACAAAAACAAATGAGCCTTGCCTTGATCTGTGATTTCTCTTGACGTGCTTTTGTTTGGTGAGGTGATGATGACATCTTCTACTGGCTTGATTGACGCTTGCTTTCAGGGTTGTAAGAATAGCACATCTTGTCACCAGTAATGATGTTGAGGGAAAAAAAGGCTAGGTTGCTTCGGAGCTGTTCTCTCAAAGCATAGCATGTTTCCACTCAACACTTTTTCCCTAGTCAGTCAGAACCCAGGGCACAAATTTCACCAGGAGCCTTCCCATTGCCAAATCTTCCATTAAAATTTGCTGAACCAAGCTCCAAGATAGTCCAGGCAGCTTCCCTGTCTCTTCAATGGTTCATTGTGGACCTACAAGCACAAGCGTATGGATTTTGTTTGCATTTTCATCCGTTCAGAAAATTGCTGGATGACCAGTCTGAGGTTTGTCATCAATCCACATTTCACCTTTTGTGAAATGAGAAAACTACTCATACACTTGAGTTTTTCCCATTGGGCTGTCCTAGTAAGCTGTGTTTGACATCACAATAGTTTCGGTGACATTTTTCCTGAGCAGGAAACAAAATTTCATAGCTGTACACTGTACACTGTACACTGCTCTCTTAAATTGGCCATCCGAAAAAACAAGGTTTGAGCGGAACCTCTTTGGGCGTTGCCACTGGGTGCACAGGGAGCATTGAATTGCTCGATGCTCTCTTGCAGGAAACATGCATACTACCAAAGCTCTGTCCAGTGGAGCTTTTTCCAGGGTTTTGGGGGGTACTCCACGTACATCTTAGTTTCCTGATCATCTCTTTCTCTAACCACAGTCGTGAAAAATGTACTATCCCACTCTGTTGCTCATTGACTATAACTGGCAGTATTAAACACTGAGGTAGTACGTGATAGTAACATTGGCTGTGATAGTTAAGGTTAATGTGTCAACTTGGCTGGGTCAAGATTCTCAGTAGTTTAATAGCTACATACTGATGTAATTTGGCTGTCATGGGATGATAAATCTTGGCAGTCCTATGAAGAATAGTCATCCTCCACTTTGTGGTCTGATGTGATCATCTTCAGTTTTTTGCATAACACTCATTTTCTATTTTTGCATAAACGACCTGGAATCTCATCATGTTGATAAGGTAGGTGTATGAAATGACCTAGCTTTTCTAAAATGTCAACATAATTAAGAAGGTTTCCTTTGGAAAACAGAAGAGCATATTCTAGGCCAAGGATGGCCTGTCCTATTCGACTTTGGCATTATAATTATTTCTCTAGCAATGACACCCAAATATATCTTACTTCCTCACGAGGGAAAGACCAGAAGATTGAACTTTTCACAAATACTGTTCACACGCAACCTACCTTGGTACATACTCTCTGAATCCTGGCCTAGTAAATCTGAATCCTGGCCTAGTAAAATCAAGACATGTGCTTTTATTTTGCTCGCTTGTTCTCTCGAAGGGGTTTTAAACCTTTGAAAGTAATGTTTTCATCTGAATTTGCTGCTTTGAACTCTTTCTGCACCCTGGTTACAGACACCAAGAAGACTTTTATTATCTCTTTACTTTCAAAACTCTTTGTATTCAGAGTTATCCTGATGACAGTACTCTCTGTAATGGGCTTTTCCTTGGCCCACTCCCACTTCTCGTGAACAGAGGGGCAGGCATGCGTTTCAATGTGCCAGCCTCTGCCCTTTGAGGTGTCATTCAACCCAGAAGGTACCCCTGGCAACTATCTGTTTGCTTGCCCCATGCTGTTTTCTTCTCCCTTCCATTGGTTGTTGTGAGTTGCTGTTAAGTCAAATGTGGCTCATGGCAACCCCTAGCACAACAGAACAAAACATCACCTGT